TCGGTGGTTTGAAGAGCGGAAGAGATATGATCAGCAATCGCCTTTTCGGAAAGGGCGGCCGCAGTGGCAGCACGACGGAGAAGGAGCCTGTCATCGACGACGAACACTACCAGCTTAAGACAATCAACCTACCTCTGGTCGAGCAAACACGACGCACACGTATTTCGAAGCGTTTGGAGGACTCTAGAGACAAGACTGAGTTCTGGATGCCTGCTTTCCCATGGCGCGCAATCGACTATTTGAATTACAAGGGCTGCGATGTCGAGGGCCTGTATCGTGTGCCGGGTAGTGGACCCCAGATCAAGAAGTGGCAGAGGAGATTCGACGAAGGTTTGACGATACAATCCATGCAGATGTGACCAGCGCACTAACAAGATTTCTAGAATACGACGTCAACTTATTCGAGCAGCCTGACTTGTACGACATCAATATTATCGGTTCCATGCTCAAGGCATGGCTGAGAGAGCTTCCCGATGAGCTGTTCCCGAAGGAGGCACAGGAACGCGTTGCGAGGGAATGCGCTGGCTACGAAACCGTTCCTCCACTCCTGGTCGAGGAGCTGTCTAACCTATCGCCGTTCAACTACTACCTGCTCTTCGCCATCACCTGCCATCTCAGCCTACTTTTGGCCCATTCCGACAAGAACAAGATGGACTTCCGAAACCTTTGCATTTGCTTCCAGCCCTGCATGAAGATTGATGCTTTCTGCTTCAGATTCCTGGTTTGCGACTGGCGCGACTGCTGGAAGGGCTGCAAGAACGAGGCAAAGTTCATCGAGCAGGAGTATCAGCTTTTCGACCAACCTCCCCCGAAGGGCCTGTCAGAGCCACGCAAGCCATCCAAGGAGTCATCACAGGAACCAACGCCGGAGGAACCAACGATTACTTTGGAGAGGGCTGCAACACCGTCTGACAACAGCAGCAAGCACTCAAACGCTAGTACCGAGCAACCAAAGGATCGGCGGCTAAAAAAAAAGCCCCTCCAACTCTCTGAGTCCAACGGCAGTGTCGCATCTAACTCGACCATGGCGACAACTCTGACGATTGACAGCGGCCGCGACGCGCCACGAGGTTCCAGCGACCTGCGACCTCTGTCACCCATCAAGCCTCTCTCGCCCCTCGGTTTCTAAAGCACAGTATAGAAACCATCAACAGTTTCTTTCAACCTCGAATACCCAGGCGGAACTCGTGTGCATATGGAGCAGTTGCATCAACATTACATTATCGACGACGACCTTACGCCGTTAACGACTTTCGTTTTCCCCTTCATGCGCTTCCATCCCATCACTATCTTGATGCTGTCCGGGTGGTTGCAAAAGTCTCCAGGTGACGGACCGCATAGAGATTGCAGATTGGGTTCCGCTTCGTTTGCGACACAGCATCATGCTATTTGGTATACCCCAGGGCATCGAATCGTATCACAAAAGCCGTCGTTTTATCCCTTTAGGAAACTGCGTTGGGCTACTTTTGCATCAACGAATAGGATCCTCGCAACCCGAGCCGCCGTCTTGCGTTCGCGCTTCAGGCAGCTCAAATTTGGGTACCTAATTTTCTTCTTTTCTGCACTTTTGTAAGGAGCTACGAATCTAGCGATGTTTGGTCTTTAGTAGCATAGCAGGACATGGGGATGAGGAGCATTCACGAAATGCTGGCTAGGTCGGGGGACACGGACACAGCTCACGAATAAGTATGACTGAGGGGGTTCGGTGGGATCTGTGTACTATATGAAGGATTATATATGTAGCACGAGGTCAAGCGCGGCCAGACGAAGCCCGCGGTGGAAAATGAGGACCACAAGTTCACAATTCAAAGCACCAGTGCCCGGTCAAGGTTGATGTAATCAGAGCCAGAGATCTGGCTCGTGAAGCCGTTCCATTCCTTTTAAGAATCCGACGCCCAAGCATACAGACTGGATATGAATAACCACCGCCAATAAAACGCCAACCCATGCCGAACCTAAAAGCATTACACAATTTTGCTCTCCATCTTTTCTCTACCGCTTGCCAGCCGCCTCGCGTTGGTTCTTTCTCATTTTCCTCTCGTTGCGCTTGATCTTCTCCTTTCGTTCCCTGCGCTTGTCGCCACGGATCGTGGTGCCCTCGGGGCGGTTCATCTCCTTCTCGGCATCGACCTCGACAACCCAGTCGTCCTCGCCCTTCTTGTTCAGGCCCTTGTAACCCCACTTGCGGCGCCACTCCTGCGTGTCCTCGTCGAAGGCGAGGTTCTTGCGCTGCTCGCGCGTCTTGGGCTTGATGCCGCGCTTGGCGGCGAAGCGCTCCCACTTGGTCGGCTCCTTGGCCTTGGGGACGGGCTTCTCGCGCGGCAGGTCCGTCGAGGGGGGCGGAAGCGTCAGGAGGACGCCGTCGGAGGTGCTTTGGAGAGGGCAGGTGGTCAGGAGCTGGTTGATGAGGGCCTGGGCGCCGTCGCGAGCTGTGGCGGCGAGGGATTCCTCAATGGCGGACTGGTCGAGCTCGAGGGGGTTGGGGTCGTTGGCGAGCAGCAGGCCCAGGTCGAAGTTGTAGGGTGTGGGCTTGTTGACTGCGACGGGCAGCTTGGGGCGCGAAACAGGGAGCGCCATTTCGATAGCCGGTGTCGCGTGCTTTTGTTTCGTGGCTTGGTTCGGAATGGCGACTTTCGGGGAGGTTTGGAGTGTGCAGATGTCTGGAGTTGTACGGCGTAACGGGGGAGCGTATCTGGGGCGCCTGCAGGTGGGATTATCCAGAACTTTTTTTCTGCCAGAAATTTTGGCGGCGAGCGATTAGATCGGATCAACTGCCACCGCACCGCCGACCAACAGCGCCCCGCCAATCAGCGCTGCAATTGGCTCAATGACCTACGAGCCCCGGAGGGGTGTGCCTCTAACGAGCCCGAGAATTTACGAACTTTTTGGAGCTTGGGGAAAGACATCGCACGACGACGACCTACCAAAGGGGCGACTCGACGAGCTGCTTCGGACGGAACCGAACACCCGCGACTGTGCCAATCCGAATGGCCTCATAAAGATTCACCGGCAAACAGACATACGAGCAAGAAACAGCCAGCCTCGGGCACCGAAACCACCCACAATGGCCTCCGCCAACTGCGCGCGGTGCCTCACCCGGCCGACGACGGCCGCAGCAGTAGCAGCACCCCGGGTCCTCTCGCAGCGCATCGTCCCCGTCATCACCTCCTATGCGGCCGCCGCCCCCTCCGGCTCCGCCCTCTTCTCGACCACCTCTGCCCTTGCAGCCGGCGGCGCCAACGCCTCGACCATGCGCAAGGTACAACACTGGGGAAAGCACATCCGTCGCGGCAAGATCAACCAGAACTCCAAGAAGAAGCGGGAGAACATCAAGGTGAAGAAGCCCGCGCCGGGAGAGCGTAAGGCCTTCCGCAAGCGCATCACGCTCAGCAACAACAGTGCGCTGCTCGTCGAGGGCCTGAAGGTGGTTGACGGGACCACAATGTCTTCGGTTGAGGCCCAGGGGACCATGGTCGGTCTGCCGGATCAGCTTGTCGACCAGCTGCGCACGCTCGAGGCGTTCAAGATCCACCAGCCCTGGGGCCTGTTCAGGAAACCGCACATGCTCGTGAGGGAGGAGACGGTGAAGCTGGTCAGCAGGGTCGACAAGGCCGTCCAGGAGAGGCAGACGTTGAGGACGGTGTTGACGGGAGGCAAAGTTGGAGGCAAGAGCATGTTGCTGCTGCAAACCATGGCTCACGCTCTCATGAACAACTGGGTTGTCATTAACATCCCCGAAGGTATGCTCACTCACTTCACAAGCATCATCATCGCAACTAACACACTCCATAGCCCAAGACCTGACCAACTCCAACACGGACTACAGCCCCGTCCCCAGCTCCAAGCCCCTCCAATTCTACCAGCCAACCTACTGCTTCAACCTCCTGCAGCAAATCATGAAGGCCAACGGGTCCGTCCTCAAGAAGCACAAGATCACAAAGGAGTACCCGGAGCTCCTTCACGTCCCCAAGGACGGCACCCTCTACGACATCGCAAACGCCGCCAAGGAGACCGAGTTCGCCTGGCCCGCCTTCCAGGCCCTCTGGTCCGAGTTGACCACCGCTCCCGGCGGGCCCCCGGTCCTCCTCACCCTCGATGGCCTCTCCCACATCATGAAGATTTCTGCCTACCGCGACCCGGCCTTCAACCTCGTGCACGCCCACGATCTCACCCTGGTCCGCCTCTTCGTCGACGCCCTCAGCGGCAAGACGCCCCTCGCCAACGGCGGCGCCGTCATCGCCGCCACCAGCCGCAGCAACGCGCCCCGCTCCCCGTCCATGGAACTCGCCCTTGCGCAGTCCGCCGCCGCCGCCGAGGGCCTGCACGTCCCCACGCCCGACCCGTACGGCAAGGGCTACGACGACCGCATCTACGAGTCCGTCCGCAACGTCGAGACGTTCAACGTCAGCGGCGTCAGCCGCGACGAGGCCCGCGCCGTGATGGAGTACTGGGCTGCCAGCGGCATGTATCGCTCGCGCGTTGACGCCGGTTCTGTTGGTGAGAAGTGGACTGTCGCTGGTGGTGGTATCCTCGGCGAGTTGGAGCGGGCGAGCTTGCTCAACACGCGTATGCTGCAGTACTAAAGGGATGGGACGATGGAACGAGAAGTGCGGGTGGGGGCGGGCAGTGTCTACATGTATCAGTGTACCAAAGATGTGGGAGGTGTGAAAAAAGGAAGAGCTTTTGTACTATACTACCATCATCTGAAGTTATGAGAATTTCCCAATCCACGTAAAAGGAATGAGCTTTGCGACTACTTTGACATCATGATCATTGGACGAGACAAAGGACTGAGATGTATCTGGCATCTTTTGTGATTCATTATCTTCTTCATTCGAGTGGTTGGGAAAAGTCAGCCTCTCCACCTCTCTGGTCACTTCATCCATGATAAACCCAACAACGCCAATCCCAAGGCGGCTTCAGTTTGCAAAGCCGTATATGACGAATAACATTTTTCAACGACACTACGCAACCCCGACAGTACCATCGTCCGCTGACAATTAGTCGTGCGTTCCTGCGGCCGTGATGAAGACCAATCTGGTGCCGTTGCCAGCCGTTTGCCACACCTATTTTCCGATGGGTTAGAGAATGTCTCTGAAGAAAAGAAAGATTGGGTTGGGGGTGAAAACTTACATCGAGCTCGTTGTACTCCTCCAGGGCAGCGAGCCACTGGTCCTCGGTGAATCCCTTGGCAATGACACGCTCCTTGACCTTGCGGAGGGACATTTCGGTGCCAAGCTCATCGTCTTCGTCGTCGGCATCGTCGGTGCGGCAGGCACCGCTGTCGGCCAGCGACTTGACCAGGTTGTAGATTCTGCTGCTCGCGTTAAGACGCGAGCGTCCGGAGCTGCTCTGCTCGGCGGCGAGACTCTCCTTGGAGGCCTCAATGAGGCGCAGCGCCTCGTCGACGTCGTCGTTGGTAACCTCGTTGGAGAAACGAAGACGGGCGAGGGCCTGGGCGAGACGGATGATACCGAGGAGGGTACGCGGCGTCGTGTGGGTGAACTGTTGGCCCTTCTTCTCTGCGCGGCGCTGCTGCTCGCGCATACGAACGTATGTCTTGATGATGTACTCGTTGATGCCTTCCGTGACGACAGGGCGGTATGTGCGAGCTTGAGCGACGTAGGAGCGGACCTCGTGCGGTGAGAAAACAACAGAGTCGGTGCCAATGTCCGGGTGCTTCATATGCATGTGGACATAGGCGACGTGCTTGGCGAGCTGGGCGTCAGACTCGCGAGATGGGGTATCAAGAAGCAAGAACATGATGTCGAAACGAGAGAGGAGAGCGGCGGGGAGGTTGATGTTCTCGACCGGGGAGATGCGAGGGTTGTAGCGACCGTAAATGGGGTTAGCGGCGGCAAGGATGGAAGTGCGGGCGTTGAGAGTGGTGGAAATGCCAGCCTTGGAGATGGAGATGGTCTGCTGTTCCATAACCTCGTGGATAGCTGTACGGTCGTTCTCGTCCATTTTGTCGAATTCATCGATACAGCAGATGCCGTTGTCAGCGAGGACGAGAGCACCACCCTCGAGAACCATCTCGTCGGTTACAGGATCACGCATGACGGCAGCCGTCAGACCGACACCACTGGAACCGCGACCGGAGGTGTAGACACCACGGGGAGCGACCTTTGAGATGTACTTGAGCAGCTGGGACTTGGCCACACCAGGGTCACCCATCAAGCAGATGTTGATGTCACCACGAATCTTCATGCCATCCTCAGCTTGCTTCAACGGAGCACCAATGAGAAGCAGGAGAAGTGCCTTCTTGACATCGAGGTGTCCATAGATTTCGGGGGCAATGGACTTTGCAAGAAGCTCGTAGACTTGGCCGGATTGCCTGTACTGGTCGATGCGGCGAACAAGCTTGGCGTCCACGATCATTTCAGAGTAGGCCTTCTTGTGCTGGACGATGTGATGCGCCTCCAGGAAGGTATCGGTCAGAAGACCGGCCCTCATAGCCTTGAAACCAGTGTAAGGGGTGGGTAGGAAGATACCCGAAATATCGACAACATCGCCCGGGTTGACCTTGCGCACCGAGGTACCGTAACACAGAACAGTCAAGGTACGAGGAATCTGACCGATGGGAACCTGCTCCGCAAGCTCCTGAACCTTGACCTCCTGGAAGGGCAAGAACTTGGAGGCTCTCGTAGATGGGTGAAGCTGACCCTTGGCCTGGTTCATCTCGCAATCCTTTGAGGGGCATACGGTCAACGGACCGAATGACTTCTCGTTGACGGGCTGGAAGATTTCGCAGCCGCAACGGTCACAGGTGTAGGCGCTGACCTGCACGATGGGCTTGACGTCTGAAACTCTGGTGGCGATTGCGCGAACGGTAATCAGGTGGCCAAGCTGGTCGCCCTTGACGTTACGCACGGCATAGGCCTTCGCTGGGTGGTCAGGGGAATCGGATCGAGGCTTGAAGACGAGGGTATATCGGCGAGTGAGCTCGGCGGGGAACTTGTCCTCGGCGACGGTAGGGTCGGGGAGCTGGCCATCCGTAGGCTCAGTAGCTTGACGCTGCAGTTGCTCGTTTCTCCTCTGTCTTCGCTCCATCAAAACATCCAGAACGTCATCCTTGAAGCTTTTTGCCGTTAGTGTGAAGCATTTCCAAGGGGTTGCAAGTTGGCATACGTTGTGTCGGCGCTAGGCTTGGGCATAAGCTTGTCCACCGCTCTTGACATCAATTCGACATAATGCTTGGTGTTGGTCTCGATGGACTCCACCAAATGGAGCTCGTCGCCGATTTGTGATTCGAACTAGAGTTATCGTCAGTCCTCAGTCTCATGCCAGACAAGTTACTCGGGTTTGCCCACAGCTGCGATGTCGTCCAGGTCGACCAAAACCTCATCAATCTGGCGGTCTGCAAGCTTCTGCATCATGGCCTGGTATTTATGCGCGGGCGGGGTCTTATCCCGGCGGTGAGTCTGGCGGGCACCATCGTCCTCCATCAATTCATCGTCGTCGCTAAAGTCATCTTCGTCTATCGTAATGTTGCCGAGGGCATGTGCGATGGTCTGCTCAGGCGACGCCTTGAAGTCTTTGAGGAAGGATTCGAGAGCGGCTAGCAGCGAGTTAGGATCGTCTTGCGACAGCGGTGTGGGATCGAGTTGGCAGGTCTGGCTTACTCTGCTGCGCTTCATACGCTACCGGCGCCTTGAATTGACGAAGCGCCATCTTGACAGAATTTGCGGGGTCTCGACTGCAGAATTGTCTCTTGGAAGCTCAATGACCTAGTCTGACAGACGCAGGTGCAGTTGTGAAAGGGGTATAATCCGTCTTTGCGACGGCAGCGGGGAGTGGTTCTGTTCTGCTGCTATCGAATCGAAGTTTGGCGCCGGGTGGGGGCTAGAAGAAGAATCGACGGGACCTGATCAATGCGCTAGGGGGGAAGACACGGGAGACCAAACCACGAAATTACGCGACTTCCAGACGCGAGCGTGTCAGACACGCGTTAATTGATTTTCGGGGCAAGCCACAATGTGGCGTAACATATGGATCCTGCTCCCCAAAAGCCAGGGGGTCCGGAAAAGATACGTACAGGACTCCTGCAGCTACCCCGTGTTCGGGCCCAATGGGGTGGAGGTCCCTTTCCATGCCGGGAATGCCTCGGCGTCGGCACATGCCTGGGCCAGTCTCGGTTCATCTCTCATTTCCAGCTCCAACAGCTAGCTTCTCCAGACTCCAGCTACGTCTAGAGCGAACCACGCCCGCAAATCTATCTTGCTCTCTGCTAAGAGCGTGCCACTCTTTTGTTTTGTACAACCTCATGGATTGCTGATCAGTCAATTGCTGTCATGGCTCCACGGCGGAATGCGCAATCGACTCCGGCGGAGATCTCTCTCTCCCCCCAGCTCAAGAGCTGCCTGGTCAACCTCCCCGCATCGTTGGTCTCGCTCCTCGTCAACGTCAACACCGTAAGTAATGCCTATGCTATCTGCAGTAGAGTTCAAATTAACAATTGCGCAATAGCCCGCGCAAAATGTCATCGTGGAACTCAATTACCGACCTTCCTCCGCGAGCGCCTCCGGGTCCGGCGCATCACAACAACGGTCCGTCTTCGTGGGCTGGACCGGCATGCCGAGTAAGCGCAAAGTCGCCCCCATAGTCGGACGAGACGGGATCAATGGTGGCAGGAGTGGTGGACGCGAGCAAGAAGTGGCACAGGTTGAAATTGATGCCACGCTCGCCAACACTTTGGGACTCTCGGATGGGCAGAAGGTGACAGCCTCCATACACGTCGATCCTCCGGTTGCGCACACGATCAACATTGAGCCGCTTACGCCGGAAGACTGGGAAATGATTGAGCTCAACGCGAACTTCCTCGAACTCAACCTGCAGTATCAAGTCCGTGCCTTACCGAACCCCGCCTTCCTCTCGAGCACTGGTACCATCGTCCAGCCGCACGCCGTCACGTTGCATCTGTCACCAACTTCTACAGCCAACATCAAGGTCGTATCGCTCGATCCCCCGCCACCAACCGATTTTCCATTCGCAAAAATCTCACCGAACGCTGAAGTCATCGTTGCGCCAAAGACCCGAGCCAAGACGTCGCATTCGCTGGGGGAGAACCGCAGCGTGGCCAGCACATCCAAATCGAAGCGAAGTGGCGCGAGCACAGTTCGTCGTCGAAGTGCGCGAGAGGAGCGAAAACCGGCGTTGTGTCTCCGAGGTGTAGACCAGACGGCATGTGTGGAGTGGTTTGACGAGGACATCACGATTCAAGACTTCAGTGTTTGGGTCGACCGCGACATTCTCTATACCAAGGACTTCCGAGGTGTAAACTACGTTTCGGTCAATATACTGCGTCCAACCCCCCAACCCAGCACCAACCCGCAAAAGCCGCAGCAGGACGCTGAAGCAGCGTCCAACGCGTCCAAGATCTCGACTAAGGTTATCGCGCATTTGCGGGCTTGGGATGATCCTCCTGACAGCAAAACAATCGCGCTGTCTTCGCCGTTGTGCTCAACTTTGGGCTTCACAGGCGCTGTAGGCGGCATTATCAAAATTGAGCCAGCGCCTCAGCAATGGCCACTAGATGCCGTGCAGAGGCTGATCATCCACCCATTTGCAGCCTCCAAGAAGTCGACATCAGACGGTTTGAAGTTCGGCGGCGAGTCCAAAGCTGGAAAGGAAGAAGCTTCAAAGCAATTCAAGCATATGTATGGAGCTCGCAAGGATTCTTCTTCCCTTCTTAGTGGTCCTCTGACCGATGGATCAGTCATTGGTCTCTACGACGGGTTGGAGGCTCCTCAAGGCTGGGAAGGTGGTGTCGTGCGCTTCGACCCGACTGCCATCAACAGCGATCCACTCAGATCGTCGACAAAATGGGTACTGGGACTCAGCGACAAGATCAATATCGAATTCCGTGACCCGGTCCCTCGTCCTCAGTGGATGAACAACGACAGTCTTGCCGAGTTGCAGCCCTCTTATGATGGTCAGCTTGTGGGCATTGACAAATTGCTGCAAGATCTTCGAAGTCACCTCTCTCATCTATCTTCGACTCTCCTCACTGGTGCTCTTGGCTCAGGCAAGACTGCTGTTGCCAAGTCACTGGCTCACGAGCTCGGAAAAGAACTACTGTTTCACACCACATACTTCCCATGCAGAAAGCTTGTTAACGACGAAACGAGAGTCGCAACTATCAAAGACACGTTGAATCAGGTTTTTATGTCAGCAAGCTGGGGAGCCCGACTAGGGGGCAAGGCGCTTGTAGTTCTCGACGACCTCGATAAGCTGTGTCCGGTGGAAACGGAGTTGCAAGTCGGCAACGACAACGGACGCAGCCGCCAAGTAGGTGAAATCATTAGCAGCATTGTGCGTCAATATTGCAACGCGGAGACTGGCGTGGTTTTGCTGGCGACATCCGAGGGCAAGGATTCTTTGAATAATGTTATAATTGGAGGTCACGTCGTTCGTGAAATCATCGACCTAAAGGCGCCAAACAAGGAAGCAAGGCGCAAGGTCATGGAGTCCATTGTGAGACAGGATGCTGTTTCTCCTGAAGACATTCCGCAGGTGTCTCATGATGGTAGTCGACCTCAAACAGCGGATGGCAGTGCAGCAGGTGAAGATAGCGCTTGGATGGACGCAGGCAGCCAAGGCAGTCATGAGCAGCGGAACGGGACAGCAGCAGGCTTCGTTCTGGATCCTGATCTAGACTTCCTCGACGTCGCTGGTCTCACAGACGGTTACATGCCAGGAGACATTAGCTTGCTCGTCGCAAGGGCTCGCAATGAGGCAATCATTCGATCAGTCAGCGAGGATAACGAGGGAGGTGCCGTTAACCTTGGCCGCGTTGACTTCGACAGCGCCCTCAAGGGTTTCACGCCGGCGTCACTTCGAAATGTCTCTCTACAGAGCTCTACCACAACATTCAGCTCGATCGGTGGTTTGACGGAGACCCGGCAGGTTCTCCTTGAGACCTTGCAATACCCGACAAAATACGCGCCCATTTTCGAGCAATGCCCTTTGCGGCTGCGGTCTGGTCTCCTGTTGTACGGATACCCCGGTTGTGGCAAAACCCTTCTCGCAAGTGCGGTGGCTGGAGAATGTGGTCTCAACTTCATCAGCGTCAAGGGACCTGAAATTCTCAACAAGTACATCGGTGCCTCGGAGAAGAGTGTCCGCGATCTCTTCGAGCGTGCATCGGCCGCCAAGCCTTGCGTCCTGTTCTTCGATGAATTTGACTCTATTGCGCCGAAGCGTGGACATGATTCTACGGGAGTGACGGACCGCGTGGTGAACCAGCTCCTCACTCAGATGGACGGTGCAGAAGGCCTCTCTGGTGTGTACGTACTCGCAGCCACTTCTCGACCGGACCTGATCGATCCTGCACTGCTTCGTCCAGGCCGTTTGGATAAGTCCCTGCTCTGCGACATGCCGTCACTGGAAGAACGTGTCGACATTCTAAAGTCGCTTTCTAGCAAGGTCAAGCTGAGCGAGGAACTGACGAAGTCTGACGATGCCTGGACGGAAATTGCACGACGGACGGAGGGATTTTCTGGAGCAGATCTCCAGGCGCTTGTCTCTAACTCACAGCTGGAGGCAATTCACGACGTGTTGGATGATGTCTCACACCCTCCTACGACCAACGGCAAGGTCAACGGAAAGTCGGCTTCCTCGAACGGGTCGATTCCCAGCTTCGTGCAGTTCAGGTATGGGCAAGATGCGGCGCCTGCTACGAAGGCCATCAGCCGATCCGCGGAGATTGTGGAAAACAACGCAATATTAGCCAAGCTGGAAAGCATTAAGCAAGCTCGGAAGAGGGTCAAGCACGCACAACGTCCAGAGGGCGAGGCTAAGCCCGTCGAGGATAAGGAGGTTGTGGTGAGATTGAACCACTTGATGAAAGCTCTGGAGAGCACCAGGTCCAGTATCAGTACGCAGGAGCGAGCAAGACTGCAAAGAATCTATAGAGAATTTGTTGTCGGCCGTAGTGGTGAGATGAGAGACGGCCAAGGTAGCATGGAAATTGGCGGGCGAAGTAGCCTCATGTAAGCTCGCGTACGAGAGCGCACCAGCAAGGAAGCAAGCAAGCATTTTGACGAAAGCATGCGTCTCTGATCATGAGGCGCTCTGAATATGAATCTATTCATACCACTCATGTCTGCCATCTACAGGCTCTTCGTCTTGTTCGCAACATGTTTCCTCTCAACCAAATAATTCTTTTCTCTTCGATGGATCACTTCTTGCCCTCCAGGATCTTCTTGTGAAAGTCTTTCCAGTTCACGTCGCACTGCCCCTTCACCACGCTGGACAAAAATCTGGAACACTTGATGTCCACAACCTCAACCAACTCACTTCCCCCGCCTTCAGCATCTCTGACAGTCCAGCGCGTCTCCAAAACGACGCTGAGTGGGCAGCTGGTGCGCACAAAACTGCCGTCCTTGGTGAACGTGAATTCGTAGTCGCTGACCGCATCCCTGTCCCAGATACCCTTGGGAAGCAGCGTTGGCACGCTGTCGGTGACTGAGTAGCACTCCGTCGCAGCAATGGGCTCAATGTCCTGGGGCACCGTTGGCGGGATCTCGGGGGTGCGTTTGGTGTAATCCTTCATGTTGGGATCGCACTTGATGTGGTGCTCCGCGTCGTGGATGAGAGCGATCGCGTCCTCCTTTGACGTGCCCTCCGGGACCGGGGTAACGTGGGTTAGAGTAACTGTTGTGTTGAGCATTTCGGCTGAGTCGAGAGTTGTTTTCCGGGTGTTCCGAGCAGAGTGTCTGACGATCTCAGTGTATCCTTTTTATGTGCTGATTGTTGGTTGGCCTCTGACTAACAATGAAGCCGAAATTTAGAGTGGGTTTGAACACGCTCGCCGCTAACAAAGAGGTGCAGTTGAGACAAAGTGAGGAGGCTTGAATTAAATACAACTTGAGTTCGAACAAAGGAAGGCGTAAAATTGAAAATTACTCGGCCCGTCCTTATACACATTGGAGGCCGCATGCGTTCTATGCGGGAGTCAGTTGCATGTGACACACTTGATGTATCAGACGACTCCTGCCCACGGACCCGAATACGCGTGCGAGTGGATTGAGTGATCTTCGGTTTCCTAACCTTGCTGATTGAAGGCATAATTAGAGGAACGTCAAATTGGAGAAACGTTTCCCCCCCGCATGTACCAAAGGCAAAGTACCTGGGCACTGGGGGGATGCTCAAGTCTCTCATCGAGAGTGCTCAAGATGGGCTTGACAGTTGGTTGCATACGATGGTATTGTCAATTGGACAGAAGCAAGCTTATTGAAGGCCAAGCTTCTAGTTGCTTCGGTTTCTTTGTTGGTTTTCTTCATGTTTACAGGCAATTGCACAATACCAAGCTTTCCATCGAGAACTGGCCTCCTGTCGCTTCTGGGAACCCCTGGGTTGCCTAGCGCTTCCGATTGGGAAAGTCTAATTCGACTTCAACCCGGCACATTCTCTCCGCGGAATAATGACGGAAGAAAGCAATTATGCTTGGCTCGGCCTCGGAGGCAAAGCGCTGACGCAGCGGGATGTCATGTGTGTCGGTCTTTAGGTCGGCGGAGCTGCGCATGATGCCCACCGAAGCAAAAGAGGCCCGAGGGACAGACGTCCCGGACCCGGATGCGGATGCGGATACGGAGTGTCGGCGCTGAGTTTCCTCTTGTGGGATTTCCGTGCGAGAGTGCCTCCGCGTAACCGCCCGGAACCGACGTCGTTTGATGGAGTCGAGTGGCCACCCCAGACTGCCGGCCCTCCGGTTCATATCGGAGCTCGAAAGCTAGCAATGGAAAATGGAACAGTGCAGCCAGTTTTGTGTTATCACCGAGTCATTCGCACTCATTTGCGTTTACCTTACCTGAAACCCCTATTAGTGCGCGATTTATTACCCCTCTATGCTACTTTTTACTATTAATAATAATACTACTAATATTAATTAATATTTTTTAATATAGTTTAAGCTTTTCAATACTATTTAGAGTATAATATAAGTAGTTATAATTTTATAATATTAAAATAAAATAATAATAATCTAAATCTTATATAACTAATATAGTTATTAAAACTAATAGTAGTATATAGATATAAAAATATCTTTTTAAAACTAGAGTTTCTATTAATAAAGTTAATAATAAGAAAATCCTTTCTATTTATATTAACTCTCTAAGAAAAAGATTATAAGAGAAAGCTTATATTATATTAACTTTAATCTAATCTAAAATATATTATTTTTAATAAAATAGCTATAATAAAGAGCTTCTAACTAATTATAAAGAAATTAGCTAAATCCCTTATTAGCTTTAAGAGAAGTAAAATAAACTTAATTAAAAAGAGTAATAATAATTTTAATTTTGAAAATAAAGTAAATATAGAAAGAAGGTTTTTTATTAATAGTAATATATATATAAACTTATAATTAAAGTTATTATTTTATAGATTTAGCTATAAATAGACTTTATAAATAAATACTATAATTTATTAGTATTAAAAATAATAAATAATAATATTAATAAAGTTAAAGAGATATAATAACTAAAAGTTAAGAATATTAAGGCTATTATTAAAGCTATTATTAAGATTACTATAAAGCTACTAATTAATTTTATTATTAAAGAGAATAACCTATTTAATAAATATTTATTACTATTTCTATTATAATTATTATTATTATTACTACTTCTTATAGAACTTTTAAGTTTATATAGAGATTAAGATTTCTAAGAATAATATTAAGATATAGCTAAATATTAAGGTTAGGAAAATTAAATAAGAGAATATGAATAACTAAGCTAAATATATTATTTATAATATAATATAAACTTCTATTATAATATTATAATTACTTTTTTATATTTAACTTTATTTAAATTACCTTTCTCTTTAGCTTAAATTATTAAATTATACTTTCTAAAGAGATATTTTATATTAACTACTAAAAGCTTAATAACTAAAACTTATAGCTATTTAAATATCAAGGATAAATTAATAATATTATTAAGAACAATAAAAAGAAGAATAAGTTATTATAAATTAAGATTATTACTCTTATTATATTAAAACTACTTAATTAATATATATTAGTCTATATGAGCTATTCTTATAAGTTTTAATGATTATTTTTAATACTATTTAATATAAGTTCTACTTAAATAACCCTCTTAGTTAGAATAATATTACTTTAAAACTTTATTAAAATATTTTTATAACTTAATATAACTTTATAAATTTTATATTAAAATAATAACTTTATGAAGCTTATTTTTATTAAGCTTAATAATATTAATAAACTATTATATTAATAGAAGTAATAAAGTAATTTATTATTAACTAATAAGTTAAAATAGAAAAAGACTTAAGATATATACTAAGTAATTTAAGCTTTTTATAAGTATAAATTAAAAGTTAAGTACTTTAATAATTATAATAATATTAGTTATTAATAACTATTATATTAATTATCTTTTTATTTTATTAAACTTACTTAACTATTTATTTTTAGATCTATAAATAATATATTATAGCTTAAATAGAAGTTATAGCTAATAGAGAAATAATTATTAATAAACTTTTACAAAATATTATTATAATATGACTTTATACTATAATAATTGTTTTAATAAAAATAAATATAAGTTGTAAAATAAAGTTATACTAAAAGTAAATAGTAATAAAAGTAATAAAAGTAGTATTGATAAGTTTAATCTATTTTTTTTTTTAGTTTTTATATTATAAACTAAGTTAATATATTATTATTATTATTCTATAACTTTATATTATTAACTTATCTTTATTATAACTACTATACTTCTATTTAGTTATTATTACTCATACTACTACTAATAAAACTACTATTAATACTATTATACATTAAAAAATAAGATTTATTAATTTTATTTTCTTTTCTATTTATTCTTTAGATTAAGTTTATATTATAACTTCTCTATAAATATCTAAAGTATTTATAAAGAATAAAAAGGATTTAAAATATTAAATAAGATATTAATCTCTCTATTACTTTTAGTTATTATTAATAATAGATTTAAATTATTAAGATATTATACTTAATAAGCTTTATAATTAACTTATTATTAAAGTAGTATATGAATAATAACTCTTTTAACTAAGTTTATTACTTATTACTTAATAGCTTTAATATTATTTACTCTATAATATTAATATACTTTTAATTAAGTACAATATTAATAAAGAGGATAAATAATAAAAAAGTTATATTACATATACTTTATATTATTAAATAAGCTTAGTAATAAGATCTTTAGTATTAATATATTTAAAATAGTTTTACTACTAAAAGATGAAATATAATCTTATAAATATTATATAATAAAAAGAAATTAATTAATAATACTGATACTTAATTTATATTCAGATCTTATAATAATATAAGTTATGTTAACTTACTAATAATATTAGCTAAATAGATAATAATAATATTATAAGCTTTAAATTAATATACTTAATAATAGTTTTAACCTTTTATAGCGCTTTAATATATATACTAAAGAGGAGTTAACTCTATAAGAATAAAAAGAAAAATAATACATAAATTCTAGTAAAAAAAGCTCCTCTAAAGCTATTAATAATTAATTTATATAATAATTTATATTAATTAATATTTTTTTAGCGTTAGTACGTATAAATAGGTTAAAGTAGCATGGAGGAATCGCGCACTAATAGGGGTTTTAGGTAAGGCAAACGCAAATAAGTGCGGTAATCTTGTATCCGTCCTAGTTCTGCAAGGGACGTTGTCAGCTTCCAGCAGCTGCATCTTCTGGCGTGTTGGAAGGTGAGCCCCCATTCCCTCATTCCGAGCCTCTTTGAATGATGAATGAAGTCAAGTCGCCTGCGCAGCATGCGGGCCAATCACAGACGAATCTTCGGGCAGCTATCTGCCAGTTCTTGGTTAGATTGTCGCTCATCACAGAGCAACACTGGCATGGAACGATGGCAAATGGGAGGTGCATTGATGCAAATTGTGGTTAGATGTAACTGAGCATTGACTCAGGACCTCAAAGGGGCAT